AAGGATGAGGCAAAGAAAAGAAACGGGGAAATTGCTTGCAAAAAGGAAAAACATGAAGTTGAAAAAATGAAGAGCTTGCTAGAACTTCAGATCATGGTTTTTAAAAAAGAACCAGTGGTCGAACCGGTCAGGGGTCCGGTTACCGGTTCGAACAGTCCGACCTTTTGATTTGAACGATCGGCCTGTTCTAACAAAAAAATTAAAAAATAAAAAAAATTAGAAAACAGTCAAAACAGTTTGAATGATTAACCGGCCGGTTCAGCGATTTACTGACCAAAATCAACGGTTTAGGGGGAAAAATGGAACTGGTCAAGTGACCGGTTCCCGATTTTCCGGTCCGATCTGGTTTTGAAAACCATGCTTCAAATTGCTTAGGAAGGGAAGTCAATACTTGAGGCTCAGTTTGGAAGGAGTACAAATACAAATATGTAGAGTGCAAAATCTTGTATTTTGTATGTATTTTCACTCTACATATTTGTATTTATACTCCTTCCAAACTAAGGTTGAAAGACAAATTAATGATTCCAATCAGAAGGTGGTAGAATTGGAGATAAAATTGTTTCAACCAAAGAACTCATCACTTTTAAGTCAGGTTCACTTTTCAGTAAGTTTTTCCTTAGAAATACTTATCTTATCCATGTTCTTTTATTTGTTATGTAAATAAGGCAATGACCATTTTAGCTATAAAAATCTATTATTGAAAAGGATATTTTTATCCCATTCAAGTGTTAGCAACTTTTCCACTGGATGGGAAAATTACTTATTCACCTGTGATACTCAAGAAAATAAACTTTCTTTATACCCCATATAAATATAAAAAAAAAACATGGGGTTTTTTCCCACTTCTTCGTCTTCGACAACAACCGGAAGCAGCTCTCATAGAAAGGTGTTTCGAAGATTCGTAGAGGGTACGCGTCTCTCTCTATCGCTCGCTAATATTGCTCTCATATTCTCTCTCTGTATCATTCTCGGAATGTTAGATTCACAGGTTCTTAGTGGTCGAGCAAGACAGAGCGGAAGGTAAACGCATGTCCTTAT